AAAAAATCATATTTGTATGTTAATTATTTAATCCATTTAGTTTTATATCTAATGATAATTTATAAAATAATCATATTTTTGCAAAAATTTTTATAAAACTAAGATGAAATATATTTCAGCAGAAGAGGCAATAAAAAATGTGAAATCTGGAGATAGAATATTTATTCAAGGAGCGGCATCTACTCCTAATACTCTAATAAACGCATTAGTCGCAAATGCAGAAAACTTAAAAGATGTAGAAATCTGTCACCTTCATACTATCGGGGAGGCAAAATATTCTCTACCTGAATATGAAAATAGTTTTATGGTTAATAATTTTTTTATCGGGGGTAATGTTCGAAAAACGGTTGGTAAAACTCGAAATCAATATATTCCGATATTTTTAAGTGAAATACCTCTTTTATTTAAAAAGAATTATTTACCATTAGATGTAGTATTTATTCACGTAAGCCCTCCCGATAAGCATGGGTTTTGCTCTTTAGGTTTATCTGTGGATGCAACCGTTTCTGCATTAAAAACCGCAAAATTAAGAATAGCACAAGTAAACCCATACATGCCGAGGTCTCATGGAGATGGTATAATTCATAAATCAAAGATAGATTTTGCTGTTCATAGTGCGGACGCTATTCCGGAAGAATCACCAGCCCCCATATCAGAAGAAGAAAAAAAAATTGGAGAATATATAGCGGGAATTATTGATGACGGAGCATGTATTCAGATGGGTATTGGAGGTATTCCAAACGCAGTATTGAGTTGTTTAGGAAATCATAAAAATTTAGGAATTCATACAGAAATGTTTTCAGATGGCGTAATTCCATTAGTTGAAAGTGGAGTTATAAACGGATTAAACAAAAAATCACATCCTGGGAAAATAGTTTCGACTTTTGCAACTGGCTCTAAAAAATTATATGACTTTATAGATGATAACCCTATGGTGGCTATGTTAGATGTATCATACACTAATGATACAGCCGTAATCAGAAAAAACCCAAGAGTAACTGCAATAAATTCGGCTATTGAAATAGATTTAACGGGGCAGGTTTGTGCTGATAGTATTGGCTCAATAATGTATTCTGGTATTGGAGGTCAAATGGATTTTATAAGAGGGGCTTCTCTTTCAAAAGAAGGAAAACCTATTATTGCTATGACATCAACTTCTAAGAAAGGGGTAAATAAAATAGTTCCTTTCTTAAAACAAGGTGCTGGAGTAGTTTCTACAAGAGGGCATATGCATTATATAGCTACAGAATACGGAATTGTTGATTTATACGGAAAAAATTTAAGCCAAAGAGCAAAAGCTCTTATTTCAATTGCTCATCCAAATTTTAGAGAAGATTTAGAAATAAAAGCAAAAGAAATTTTTGGAAAAAGTTGGTAGTTATTAAATAATACTAAAAATTGGAATGAATAATTTTATAAGTGAATTAGAATGGCGTGGTTTATTGCATCAAATGGTTCCACACACAGATGATTTATTAAATAAAGAATCAAATACTGCATATATAGGATTTGACCCTACTGCTGATTCCCTGCATATTGGGAGTTTAGTACCAATTATTTTATTAAAACATCTTCAAAAATATGGTCATCAACCTATAGCATTAATCGGAGGAGCAACAGGAATGATAGGCGACCCCTCTGGTAAAAGTAATGAAAGAAATTTATTAGATGAAACTCAACTAAATCGTAACTCGCAAGGAATTAAAGCACAATTACATAAATTACTTCACTCTGAAATAAATGATTCCAATAAAATTATTATTGTAGATAATTACAAATGGATGAAAGATTTTTCTTTTATAGAATTTGCAAGAGATATCGGAAAGCATATAACGGTAAATTATATGATGGCAAAAGATTCGGTTAAAAGCAGAATATCTGGTGAGGATTCTGAAGGAATGTCTTTTACAGAATTTACTTATCAACTGTTGCAAGCATATGATTTTTTATTCCTTTATCAAACATTCGGTTGTAAAATACAATTAGGTGGCTCAGATCAATGGGGAAATATAACTACAGGAATAGAATTGATTAGAAGGAAAGCAGGAGGCGAAGCATTTGCAATTACTTGCCCTCTTACTACTAAGCATGACGGTTCAAAATTTGGGAAAAGCGAAGTAGGAGAAAATATTTGGCTCGATCTTGACAAAACTTCTGCTTTTAAATTCTATCAATTTTGGATTAACACTACGGATGTAGATGCAGAAAAATTTATTAAAATCTATACTTTTTTAGAAAAAGAATATATAAATAATTTAATAGAAGAGCATAAAAAATCTCCTCATTTAAGATTATTACAAAAAAAATTAGCTGAAGAGGTAACTATGTGGGTACACGGTGAAGAAGAATTAAATTCTGCAATTCTATCAACTGATATTCTATTTGGAAATAGGAATGTTGATGATTTAAAAATAATTGATATTAAATCTTTTAGAGGGGTTCCTCAAAAAGTAATTTACAAAGAAGATATTTCTAATGGTAAGTCTATAAAAGATTTTTTATTTGAAACGGGTTTTTTAAAATCTAAGTCAGAAGCGTTAAGATCACTAAAAGAAAATTCTATTTCTGTAAATAGAAAAAAAGTTAAAGAAGATTTTATTATTGATGAAAATGAATTTATAAAAAATGAATTTTTATTTTTACAAAAAGGTAAAAGGAATTATTTTGTAGTTTTATTAAGCTGAAGTGCTTTTTTAGAGACATTTGTGCTTTATATTGTCAATTATATTTCAATTTTGTTCATTCAGTTGTGTGTTTTAGCATATCGCTCAACTGTACACTTTCAATGGATTCTGCGATGGACTTTATCCAATTTTTTAACCCCATTTTTCTTGCACAATGAAATACGTATTTTCTCAATTTCCATCAAAAACCGTTCCTCCATTTTGTTTTTCATAGAGTTTTCTTTTAGGGCTTTCCCAGTACTTTTTACCCGCAAAACATAGTCAGTAGTTTGATTGGTTTTTATCTTATCCAGACTTACCAAATGATTATTTTGAGTGCTGATATGTTGTGTTTTTCCTTGATTGCAAAAATATTACAACACATTCCTCATATGCAATACCCCCTGTGCACTACAAACCAAAAAACCGAAAAAATCAAAATTTTAAACCCTAAAATCGCCAATTTTAACGATTTTTGTCTTAAATTAAATTTATGTTAAATCAACTATAATTTTAACGAAACTTTAACGTATTTTTTTAATACCTGCAACTTGGGCTAAAACTCAACTTGGAAACCAAACTTTATTCCAAATTTATTAACATTTGGGAGGTGTAAATAGTTTCCACGCCAATTAAACTCTATTCTGAATATTCTCCAATTCCCAATACCAATATTCTCCAAGCCAAAACCATATTCATAATACCAATCATTATTTGGAGCTAAATATTGTATAGATGATTTATTAATTAAAAGATTATCCTCCTCAATATCGCCCCAAGCTGTTCTAATAAAAGCTATTTCTCTGAATTTTAATTTCTTTACAAGAGGGATAAAAGATAAAATACTACCTTGGAAATGATGTTCAAAGCTTGTTGTTGCATAAGTGTCAGTTACAAATTCATAATAATTCATTTGTGAAAATGTATTTGGAACTAAACTATACGATTGATTTCCTGGCAATACTGCAAGCAAAGAAATTGGGACGGGGTTAAAAACCTTACCTACTTCGATTGATATATTTGATTTACCTATAGTACCCCAAAGCACTTTCTGGTCATAATGAAATTGGATTTTATCATATTCAAAGCCTGAATTAAAAACGCCTTTAAGTCCTTTTGTCCAACTTAAAATTATTGTAGGTGAGAGAGTAGAATGCTCAAATCTATCTAAACCGTATTTTGAATATTTTGCTCCTGGTTTTGCCTCGATAGATAAAGTTAAATGAGAGTCATACAAATTTGATTTTAAAACATTATTTAATAAATAATTCATATTAAAATTTGCTGGATTTGCAGAGGCAATTGTTTGATAAGTAGCATCTAAACGGACTTTAAAATTTTTCCAAGGATCTATAGAT